GAGCGGGAAGAGGAGGCAGTGAGGGAAAACCAGGAGGCCAACGAGAAACTGAAGCTAAAGGAGGTGAGGGGGGAGCAGCTGGAGGTACTGCTGAGAGAAACCCAGGTGTTACTGGAGAAAGAGAGGAAGGAGGGACAAGAAAAAGATGACAAGATCTCCTCCCAGGCCCGGGAGCTGCAGGAGGCACGAGCTGAGAGCGAGAGAGCGAGAAGGAGAGTCAGAGAGAGGGAGGAGGCCTATGACAGGCAAGAGGAAGAGGTGAAGGAGTGGCAGGAGAAGGCAGAGCGGAGTACCATGGAGACGACAAAGCTCAAACATATCCTGAAGGAGCAACAGGAGGAGGTGCAGCAGCTGAGAGCCACCCTGGAGGAGAGGGAGGAAGAAGAGGGTAGAGTGAGGGAGGTGCTGAGGAGAATGGAGGAAGACAGGAGAAAGAGGCTGGACACCAAGATGACAGAACTGGAGGAGAAAGTGAGGGAGGTGGAGGAGCAGCGTGAGGAGGAGAGGGAAGCAGTGAGGAGAGCCAGGGAGGAGAAGAGGAGGGTGGAGGACAGATGGGAAGAAATGGAAAATGAAGTGAAAGAACAAAGAGAGGAACTGAGGAGGGCAGATGAGGAGAAGAGGAGGCTGAAGAGCAAACTGAAGGAGGTACAGGAGGGGAGAAAGGGAGAGGAGGAGGAGCTGAGGAGGGTGAGGGAGGAGAAGACAAGGCTGGAGGATAAGATAATGGAGAAGGAGAAAGAAATGGAGAGACAGAGGGAGGTGCTGAGGAGTAAAGAGGAGGAGAACAGGAGACTGGAGGGTGAACTAAGGAAGGCAAAAGAGGAGCGAGAGAGACTGATGCAGGCTGAGAGAGACGAGCACCTCCTGGTGGAAAACACTGAGAGAGCCAAAGTGAGGGAGCTGGAGGAGGAGAAGGCAGGACTGTTGGTGGAGCTGAGGAGCAGAGAGAGGGAGGTGACAGCTTTCAGAGAGGAGGTGCAGAGAGAGAGGGATAAGGCACAGGATGAGCTGAGGAAGAGGAGAGAGGAGGCCACAAGGGAACAAAGGGAGAAGGAGGTGATGCAGGAGAGGCTGAGGAAGACTGAGAAGGTGGTGATAGTTCTAAGAGAGGAGATGCAAATGGAGAGGGATAAGGCACAGGAGGAGCTGAGGAGGACTGTGAAGGAGGTGACGGTTCTCAGAGAGGAGATGCAGAAGAAACAAAGGGAGAAGAAGGAGGTAGAAGAGGAGCTGATGAAGATGAAAGAGGTCGTGACAGCACTCAGAGAGGAGGAAGAACAAGAGAAGAGGTTGAGAGAGGAGGCCCAGCAGGACTGGAGCCAGAGAGAGGAGGAGCTGAGGAGGAGCAAGACAGAGGTGCCTGTACTTAGAGAGAAGCTACTAAAGGAGCAAGGGGAAAAGGAGACATTGCAGGAGGAGCTAATGAAGAGAACAGAAGAGGTGACAGCTCTCAGTGAGGAGGTGCAGAAGGACCGGAGGCAGATGGAGGAGGCCAAGGAGGAGCTGAGAAGAACCAAGAATGAGTTGATGATCATCACAGAGGAGGCACAGAAGGAACAACATGCAAAGGAGCACATACAAGAAAAATTAGCAAGTACAGAGAAGGAGGTGACTGATCTCAGAGTGGAGATGCAAATGGAGAGGGATAAGGCACAGGAGGAGCTGAGGAGGACTGTGAAGGAGGTGACGGTTCTCCGAGAGGAGATGCAGAAGAAACAAAGGGAGAAGAAGGAGGTAGAAGAGGAGCTGATGAAGATGAAAGAGGTCGTGACAGCACTCAGAGAGGAGGAAGAACAAGAGAAGAGGTTGAGGGAGGAGGCCCAGCAGGACTGGAGCCAGAGAGAGGAGGAGCTGAGGAGGAGCAAGACAGAGGTGCCTGTACTTAGAGAGAAGCTACTAAAGGAGCAAGGGGAAAAGGAGACATTGCAGGAGGAGCTAATGAAGAGAACAGAAGAGGTGACAGCTCTCAGGGAGGAGGTGCAGAAGGACCGGAGGCAGATGGAGGAGGCCAAGGAGGAGCTGAGAAGAACCAAGAATGAGTTGATGATCATCACAGAGGAGGCACAGAAGGAACAACATGCAAAGGAGCACATACAAGAAAAATTAGCAAGTACAGAGAAGGAGGTGACTGATCTCAGAGTGGAGGTGCAGATGGAGAGGAGGAGCAGGCAAGAGGTGCAGGAGGAGCTGAAAGGAGTGCAGCAGAGCATGGAGGGGATGGCGGTGAACCTGAGGTCCCTACAGGCTCAGGTACAGTCACACAACATGTTATGCACATGACTTGTAATTATTCACCCTGCACATGTGTTTTAGGGGACTCTGGGACCAGCAGCAGGTTTGATGGGGGTTCGACCCAGGGCCCACACTCATGAAGGGCCCATTAAAGCTGCTTTTTTTTGTGTGATTCCCCACAAAGCCCATCCAGACCTAGAGCAACAATCAATTTGGTGTGTGTGAGAATCCAGGACCCTTCCGTCACCCTGCCCACTTCACAGAGCAGTACCCAGGAGCCTGGGCAGCACTGATGGTGATGACCACATCTTAGCGCTGGGAAAGGTCATCATGTTCCAGTGATGATAATACTACAGGCAACACACCCAATGTAGATAGTCATTTGTTTGTAATGTAATAGCTAAAGTTTTGCAGTAAAATAAATCTGAATCATCGTCCCTGGCCAGGTCTGTTGTACACAAGGAATTCAACTCCAGTACAGTTGCTCTGTGTACTTCCTAAAGACAGCAAGAAAAAAAAAGTGCATTTGTATTTGGAAATAAAGGTGGTAAAAATAACTTTTGTGTAAATATATACATCTTTTTTTGTTTACGGCTTTTTTGAAGAATGAGTACACCAGAGTACACAAGCTTGGGTTCATAGGAGATGTAATGACCATCGCTGACCTACAGATGGCCCCGTGGCTCCACCCTAGCAGAGCCATTGTCTCATTATCTCAGCAGTTATACATCACAAGACTTGAATCAGAGGCTGTGAAACCAGTTACTGCACACTGGCCATGTGTGTTTTTAGTCCTCAGTTCCGACAGATGTTGAAGCATGTATCCAGAGAGAGAGACGTTTTCACTGCTACACACTACAAGGCAGATTAATGGTCTGTCTTTTAGGTTTGTAACAAAGAGTCCTGAATCAGAGGTTGTGAAACGGACTTCACACTGGTTCAACTGTTGGTCCTGTGACGTACAGCTGCTGGATAATCAGGTGGTGGCTCCACTAGGGTGGAGCCACGGTGCCACCTGTAGGTCAAAGATGGTCATTACATCTCCTATGAAACACAAGCTTGCGTATTCTGGTGTCAGTTCTGACTCGTCATTTTTGTCTTTGTGCAACTTTAGCTATTACGTTACAGACAAAACCCATTGTGTTTTATGCGTGTATGTTGCCTCTAGTACCATTACATCTGCCAAGGAGGTTATGTTTTTGGCTTTGTGTGTGTTTTTGTTGGTTACCAGGATTATGGACAGATGGCTGGATGGATCATCAACATCCTTGGTATAGACATTGGTGGGGACCAACCTTAGGACTGATTTTGGCTGAAAAAGGTCAAAGGTCAAGGTCATAAAAAATCTCAAAATCCCATTTTTAACACGGCAAAAATTTAAAAATTCATATCCATCAAAAGTTATCGAAATCATTTGAAATTTGACACACATATGTAGGCTGGCAATGTCTATCACCAGAGCAAATTTAATCTGAATCTTATCCGGATTCTGCCTCTGACAGCCATTTAAAGTTGTCATTGAAAACCCCATTTAATGCTTATTTTCTGCCATAACTTGGCCTATGATGAAGAAGAGAAATGTTCAGGCTTCCTGTTTCTCTGGTGAAAGGTACTGCTACCATTTCCATAATGCACTGTGGTATAATCTGAATCTGCTGTGTAGGGGATAATCTTTCTCACTATCAATCATTACTGAATGCCAAGCACAGTACACAGTGAGTAGTACACAGTGAGTAGTAAACAGTTGTCTAGTAAACATGTCTGCAGCTGCAGTAGCCACAGCATGTTAGCATGTTTTCTGTGCCTTTCTCCTGGTGTGTGTTCAGGTGTCTGGTCTGACTCAGAGCCGGGAGCAAGCGAGGGAGGCGGTGAAGGAGAAGGAGGAGGAAAAGCAGCAGATGAAGGAGGGTCTGAGAGCTGCTCTGGAGGAGATGACCAAGCTGAAACTGCTCTTGCAGGTATAGCGCCTCTTGCATCTCTGCACAGCTCCTTTTCCTCACCATATGTTGCTTAGAAAGTACTTGTATTTACAGTGGGTACGGAAAGTATTCAGACCCCCTTAAATTTTTCACTCTTTGTTATATTGCAGCCATATGCTAAAATCATTTAAGTTCATTTTTTTCCTCATTAATGTACACACAGCACCCCATATTGACAGAAAAACACAGAATTTTTGACATTTTTGCAGATTTATTAAAAAAGAAAAACTGAAATATCACATGGTCATAAGTATTCAGACCCTTCGCTGTGACACTCATATATTTAACTTAGGCTCTGTCCATTTCATCTGATCATCCCTGAGATGGTTCTACACCTTCATTTGAGTCCAGCGGTGTTTGATTATACTGATTGGACGTGATTAGGAAAGCCACACACCTGTCTATACA